GTTTCCAGTAATGTTTAAAAACTATAAGCTTACATTTATGGGGAAATGACGCACATTTTTCACTGTTTCTGTTCTCATATTAATTTAGTATAGAATCAGTAAGCAGATATTTTGCATAAAACAATGCTGTCTTTTAAAATCTAACTTGGCATTTAATTCTTATTGTGAGAAATATAAATATGAAATCAATATATAGACTACAGAAGCTTGGTTGAACATGCAATCCCAGACAGCCTGCTGCAGGGTGACCTTAGATCACCTCGACCAAGTTAATGTTTTCATGCCTAAGTTTCCTCATCTGTTAAACAGAAGATATTAACACCACCTATCATTCACAGGTTGTCATGAGAATTAAGCTGGTTCCTATTAATAAAGAGTTCAATGCCTAGCATGTCATAGGTGCTAGGCAAGTGCAAAATAAATAAATAGGGAGATTTTTCAAGCCATGTGATTCTCAACCCTGGAGTTAAAGGGTTATCAGAATCTCTGGGACTTAACGAGAATGGACACAGGTTGAAAAATTTTGCAAGTTATTCTATAGTTCTTGTTTTACCCGACCCTCCTCCCCACCAGGTAAACTAAATTACCTCTTCGTTTTTCTAGTTAAAAGGAAAAAAATGAATTATTTGGAGACTTAGTTTTAAGAAATGATTTTTCTTTCTGCCATTTTGTTTAAATAGCTTTTTTCTTCGACTTTATGAAGTTAACGTTGATTAGAAGCTGAGTCTCAGTCATCCTCCACACAGATAACAGGCCTCATCAAGTCATTCAATCTCTCCTATTTCAGCCCTCAAAGTGCAAGTTCAATAGGTGTTGACTAAGTGAAGAACTTCCTTCTAAGAGATCAATCATTGCTTCCACCTCCATGAAGACAATCCTTAAACTCTGATATGCATTTCAATGTTAATTTACAGCTCTGAACCTCCCCTAGTGTGATGGTAACTATTGGTTCTTTAAAGAGACTTGCACACTGAAATGGAATTGACTTTTAGACCAGGGAGAAATGGAAGAAAACATAAAGATATCCAGGAAGGGGGGGCGGGGGGCGGGGAGACAGATGCCCAGAATCTCCACTATGTCTGTTAAAGAAATGTTCAAAAATAGATATAGTAGATATCATGAACATCACAAACAGAAAATGCCAGGATCTGTTAACAATCTGTTAACTATAAGCAGAAGGCTGGTGATGAGTCAGAGTTACTTTGGAATGTCCTGGGGGAAATATCTCAGGGCTGTGGGCTACAAACAAACATTTTAGGTAATAAAGTTACAGCCTCTCCCAGAGCAGTCACATTCAACAGTGCTCTAGCTCCATGTGGGGCACAATTTCCACCTGCCAGGAATGTATAATTCCATGGGGGAAAGGTTGTAGGCATGCACTTAGATGCTCCTGAGAATTTTCTATCCAACAGTTTCTCTTGTGTCCCAACTTCCTGGATCACTTAAGATCTATCTAAATGCTGCCAAAGAAAATGTACAGGCTCATTTAGAAAAGCATCACCAATTCAGTGTCTCTACCATCACAGTATGTACTTGATTTTTTTTGTTTTTTTTTTTTAGTGGCACTACATGAGGGTCACAACTTGACATATTTGGTAGTAGATGTCAGTGAGAAACAAAAATGATTTGTTTCTTTGATTATGAAAGGTGGAAGTGCAAACAATTTAAAAAAGGTAAATCTAATGCTCTACTCTTTTCCAATCAGCTGTGAGTTGTACCACTGGTTCAGGGTAAGAATTCTAGAGCTTAGCAAGTTGATTTTCTTTAGAATACTGATCCTTGCACCTGGGGTAATTGCCACTATGAAAACGAGAGTATCTTTGGGTGGCTTAGACCCAAAGGTTAGGCTGAGAGTAGAAAGGAAATCTTTACAGCACAAAATCCATTGACTTGCACTTTCTACACAAAAATATTCTTTTTCATTAAACAACACCAAACTTAGCTCTGGTTTTTGGCTACTTACCAATTCATTAGCCTTGTTAAAACAATGATTAAAGACACAATTTTTAGAACTGGAAAAAAAGGCTATTTTTATGGCTTAAAAATTCTGCCCAAGTATTTGTTTTCTTTATAGAGAGCTCTGCCTTGTCTCAACAAGATACTCCACACCACAAGCCCTGTTTCTGGTCCTAGGATTCAACAGGCGCTTATGTCAGGAATGGCCCTACCTGCTTGCCTCCTAGCCACCTGAATCAAGAAAATACCGCCCTTCTAACTTGGGTCAGCCTTAGAGTGAAGGACAAAGAGACGTCTATCTACTCCTGCTTCTTTCTGTGTCATGGCAACCAGACCGTTCTTACAAAATGAAAGCAACTCAGGACTGGGTGTGCCTTGCACTATGGTCCTCATGGTGGTCATGCATCTGGGGTGTTTTTGTTTTTTTTTAAGTACAAACAAACTTCCAGTTATAAGTCCTGCTGATATAAAGTAGAGCACAGTGATTATGGTTAACAATACTGAATTGCATATTTGAAAGTTGCTGACAGAACAGATTGTAAAAGTTCTCATCACAAGGAAAAAATTATAACTATATGTGGAGATGATGTAAACTAAACCTGTGATAATCATCCCCTAATATATATATATATTGAATCATTAGGTTGTATTAGCCTAAAGCTAATACAATGTTAAATCAATTGTATCTCAATAAAATTAAATTTTAAAAAATGATCCTATTCCCTCACCCTCACCCCACCCACTTTACTTAAGGAGAACAACTTCTTTTCCTTTCAAGTAACAAAAGCAAATTAGTCAATCAAACAAAAACAAAACTTATACAAAAACCAAACTTAATACAATTTAAAACCATCCTTACAGGAGCTAAGCCAATCTTTCTTAACCAATACTTCATCATCCAAAACCACATAACTTCTAAATTCAACAAAACACATTTTACTAACTCATGTTTCCTATACCCCTTTCCAACTCACACAGAACCAGATAATTTTGGCTGGAAACATGATATGTAGAGTTAATTTTTAATTCAAATATTTTTCCTATTACTCCTTTTCTTTTAGGGTTAGCCTAAGCTGGGAAATCCCATGGACAGAGAATCCTGGCAGGCTACAGTCCATGGTGTCCCAAAAGAGTCAGACATGACTTAGTGACTAAACAGCAGTAAAGAGTTTTCTAGAATAATTACCCTATGATAACATAGTGTCTATTGCCTCAAAATGTAAACAAAATTTAAAATACTCACTAAACTTACGTTTTATAACATACTAGACAAGCAACTTTTTAAAAATTTGGTGTAATTCCCTCCACGTAGACCAAATATATTTATACAGTTAAATGGAAAATTATTTATCATCTTTAGTTATACTAGAATGTTACTTGAAATCTAAGATACATTTTAGGCTTTCCTTGCCAGTCTCCTTGTATATCATAAGGTTTCATCTGGAGGGCATTTAGCTATTTTATTCACAGATTTTAAAAGATGATAACAGTAGTGTATATGGAAGCCCAGGTGCCTCAGTGGTAAAGAATTTGCCTGCCAATGCAGAAGAGCCAGGTTCAATCTCTGGGTTGGGAAGATCCCCTAGAGAAGGAAATGGCAACCCACTCGAGAATTATTGTCTGGAAGGTCCCATGGACAGAGGAGAGGGGTCTGGCGGGCTTCAGTCCATGGGGCCACAAAGAGTCAGACACGACTGAAGCGACTTAGCATGCACGTGTGATTCCTTTACTCTGGCTATGTTGAAAAATTACTAAAATCAGAAGCTGATGTAGAAACATTTGGGCACATAAGTAGACCAAACCTAGTCTCACCAACACCCTCTTGGATTATAAGAAATTACTAAAAATGTGTATTTCAGTAAAACATAAAAACACTAAATATGGAAAATGAAAACATACTGAATACAGAGGTATATACAACTATTTGAATGGTAAAATGAGAATTATACTAACAACACAAATTTTACAATAGTAACAAAAGAACTGACATCAAATTGTCCCCAGAAAAATGAGATATCATAAAACTGAATACTCTAGCTTTACAGCCAGATGGATGCACCCAGCAAACGCACCATATTCCAGCTTCTAAAATATTATCAAGTCAATGACAGAGAATAGGAACTGAACAGGAAATGCAGATCTAAGAGTATACCCCAAAATTATATAAAGAAAAAACAGGAAGAAGCAGGACATTAAAAAAAAAAAAAACCTATAGGACTAACAAAGAGATAGTCACCCTACATATTTTATTTGGGAAAAAGTCCTTCCCCACATTTTTGTTGAAGGCTTATTTAAAGATATTTTCCTGTCATAAATGACTGTTAAAAGGTAAATAAATGATTTCTCCTAATTTAGGAATTTTGTCCCACTAAACTCCAGGAGTTGGTGATGGGCAGGGAGGCCTGGCGTGGCTGTGATTCATGGGGTTGCAAAGAGTCGGACACGACTGAGGACTGAACTGACTGGCCGACTGAACTGACTGAGCGACTGAACTGACTGGCCGACTGAACTGACTGGCTTACTGAACTGACTGGCCGACTGAACTGACTGGCCGACTGAACTGACTGGCCGACTGAACTGACTGAGCGACTGAACTGACTGGCCGACTGAACTGACTGAGCGACTGAACTGACTGGCCGACTGAACTGACTGAGCGACTGAACTGACTGAGCGACTGAACTGACTGGCTGACTGAACTGACTGGCCGACTGATGGCTACAGGGACAGATAATCCAACTTTTATGTGCACTGCAGTTTTCACAATTTTTCTTTTTTGGGAGGGCAGTGGGGGGGTGGTTGTGTGGGTAGGGGTACGCTTTAAGTAAAGTTTTACAAAATTACAAATAGAGTGAAGCTGAAGGCTTAAGCTTCATCGACTTCATTAGTAGACCAGACCCTATAGAGCAACAAGTTCTTGAAAGAATTGTCTTTGCAGGGGAGTTTTATTTGGTCTGGTTTGTAAAGGTGAGATTTTTTTTTTTTTTTTAAAGACAGTAGCAAATCCAGTGAAGCAGATGATGGTGTGGCCAAAGGGTGTGTCTTACCATACAGGTATCCAGATCTTCCAAACGCTCTATCTCCGTGAGCTCCTCCACCGTGATGATGGAGCGTTTAACTGGCTTCTCCTCAGCAAGCTCCATCTCCAAGGAATCTTGCTGAAGAAGGGTGTTGCCACGTCTGCTGAAATGGTCAGCCTAGAGAGTCAAGACAACCAAGAAGAGAGGCCAACTGAATTCCAGCAGGTACTTTCCAGAAGAGGGCGCTGTGAAGAGTAATGTCTACACCTGGTTAGTGGCAACTCGATAAATTCATGCTGGAGTTAAGGTACCTCTTTTATCATCTTTTTTGGAAGGTGGAGTATTTTAAACAAGAAATGACAAAACCTCCTTCAAAACATCTTTTGAGACTTTACTTGAAAGGTAATTCATATATCCTTGCCATGTTCGTGTAGATATGCACCAAGTAGGCACATGTTTTTATTTTCCAAAAGATGTACTACGAACATTTGCAGGAAGCTGCTGTGATATTTTTCAACTTTAAATATTCAATACAATCATAAAATAAGATCCATCAGGAGGTCCTCCAGCCTTCTGTACAGAGAAGCAACCTTTATTTATACAGCATTACCAGCATACAGAAGATTCAGTTCTAGTCAATTTGCTCTTATGATAAAGATAAAGTAAATTAAAAAGTGAAGCATAATACTGTTGCCATCAACATTACCGGTGGAAATATAAGAGAAATTTAAACCAGAAAAATAACTTACGCTGGGAAAATGAGACCACTCAGTATAAAAGAAAATAGGAACTGTTCTTTTCATTTTAATTTCATATTTCCTTGGAAAGAATTTCTATGTTTAGTGCTTAAAAGTACATAATAGGAGAAATAAAATGATTCCAACCTCCCTTATTATAAAAGGACCAAAAGGAAAGAAACTAACAAATTTTTAATTACTACTTTCTTTGTTTTCATGTAATAATAATTATATTTTATGTGACATTAATTACCAATGCTATGCTTTAGATAAACCTAAAAAAGTGGTAAGAGATGAAACAAACTGGGCTGAAATTAATAAGCTCTAGTGCTGAGCTGATTCATCACCAGGAACTCTGCAAAGATGAGAACCAGTTGACAATTCCATGGAACCTTTGGGAACATTTCTAAACTTAAGTTGGAGAAAACAATGTTATTGGACTGTCTTTGAAAGTAATGTTTCATTTTGAAGATACTGTTTCTTTCACTTAGCAGTTAAGCTCCTCTTACAATCCAAATCATCAGTAAGAAATTCAAAACAAAAGTGCATTCACACAATTCTTTTTCGCTTATGCAAAGAAAATGTCAATACTCTGAGTTACCAACTTCTTCAAAGGACAAAAGCAAAAACTGAAAAAAATTCAAACTTTCAGTGTAGTTCTCATGTGCAGCCACACTGATACAACATCTAGTATTTCTGTCATCAAGTAGGCGTTCTGAGGCCGTCCCTAGAGCTATGGTTATCAACAAACTATTTCTATAAAGGATGCTTTATTGATTTTGTTTCTGCTTATTAAAAAAAGTTTGAATTGTGATCTCTTGACAAGGTTATAGCTCTTTATCATGCCATGAACTACAAACTAGAGCTTCTTAAAATCTCTCGGTGATGAATCAGTTTTAAACTTCCAATTTGCCATAAGCCAATATATTGATAAAAATTGATAATAAAAAACATTTAATAAAAAATTTTAAATAACGTGTTTGGATATTATTGCTACATCAAATTGCTCTAGAAGTTTCTTCACCCTTCCTCTTAGCTTCTGAACTTACCTTGTTATGGACTAGTAACCCTATGCGGGCCACCTCCAGTCCACAGGCAATACTTTGAATAGCTAGAGATGTCTATCTTATCTTTTAGATTTGAGAGAAGAGTCATATATTTTTCTCAAATGAATTTTTCAAAATACTCCTTTTGTCTGCCTGCTCCTCAGAAGCTGTTGCTGCTCTTGTTATTTCCAGTGTTCTCCACCATCACTCAACAGTTCATTGCCATAAAACTGAGTATCTTCAGCCTACACAATTAACTTGAAATTTTTCTCTGCAGAAAACACTGTCATAGCTTATTTGGGAGATTTCTATTGCATCATATTGCTAGTATTTTTGAGACACAAAACATAGCCAGTTATAAAACCTTCATCTGTGCCTCAGAGTTTGAGAAACATGAAGTTTCTGATATATTTTTCATATGCACTGATAGCGGAAATACTTCTACTGCATTTCTACCTTGATTTGGAACCAGTCTGTAGATGAAGAAAATTTTTTTTCACCTTGGTTATATCCAAAGGCCCAGTTAGACACTCGATAGCTATCATTCACTAGAATATGTCCATTTAATTCTTTCACTCTCTTTGGACAATTCATTTCTGCCATGTTTTTAAGAATATTCTGTTATCAAATAATCATATCAGAGAACAATAAGCACAATAAATTAAATACAGGTGAGCCCTGAACAACACGGGTTTGACACATGCGGGCCCACTTACATGAGAATTTTTTTCAATAATAAATACTATCATACTATACAATCCGGGTTGGTGGACTCCTCAGATGTGGAGAGTCAACTATAAGTTATACATGGATTTTTGACTACAGGGACAGTCTCTGCACCTAGCTCCCAGTGTTGTCCAAGGGTCAACTATAATCTTTAAAACGAAGCTCTCAATTTTAGACTTCAATCCCAACATCATCTCCCATCAAATTTTTGACCTGTGTTTATTATACATGAACAACAATTCTGGATATTATCCCTTCTGCCCTGCCATTCCCTCTGGAGAAATTCTAACATGCTCTAGAACAGCTGGAAACAATGAAGAAGAAGAAGGAAAACTAGAACTTTAACCCATAAAGCTACAAAGGAATAAAACGCAGAAAATCAGCCACATTCCCACGCTGGAGGCTGCCCTGCCTCACCACAGAATGAACCAGGCTGTCCCCTACAAATGACCACAGCACTCACCAGTTTGTGATGGCAGTGTGAAAGTGCATCCAGAATTTCGTCCACAATTCGATCAGACAGGAAGGAGGCCACTGTCAACTTCACCTCACTATGTGAAAATCAAAAGCATGGAGTGGCATTTTAATTTGTGCAAGAGGGAAGGAAAAAAAAAAAAGTCACCACCCTTGATGCTATATTGATAAGGTCAAGTGTGATTCTGTTTCTGTCTTTGAAAACAGCATACAAGAATGTGTGAACAGAGCTAAAGATGTCCAAAAATCAGCCTTATACATTGCCATAAACACACAGGTAATAGACTTTCTTTACCTGCCTCTGCAGTTTCAAAATTCGAGATTTTATGGTAGGAATGAAAAACATCTGGATGAAGACAAACTTAATGAAAACCATATGTACCATGCAGTGAGAACAATTCATCCATTGACATAAATGAAATTAAATGAAAACAAACTTGGGCTGAAGTAAATTAAGAAAATCTAGTCTGGTTGTGAAGCTTTGGTTATTTCTTCCATATGTATATCCCTCGCCTTTTAAACAACTTTTTACCCAATCAAATGGTACCTTGTTGAAATGCTTCTGCTATGACTTGCCACTGTACTTTGAAAAGTTACAAATTCACTGCTCTCTTGCCTTTTATGAACAGAAGTTATCAAAACGGTTAGTTTTAGTGCCTCTTGCCTAACCTTAAAAGGATGCCCAGACAGGAAGTAGCAGCTTGTAGTTTTTACTAATAAATAACTCAGCCACTGAGGTTTCCATCAGAGGGCTAGCATTTTAGTTAGCATTTTAGTTATTTGGTATTCCCAAGAATTCAGCTTCCACATGTGTCTTCAGTCTAAATAACCCTACCTGGGCACAGATGCACCAATGTACATAAATGCACAAATACATTGAAAGTAAATGTGCTAGAGAGATATATACCCACGTTTCAACATTGTCACATAATTTCACTCTACTTTTGAAGTCAATAATACTAAAAATTGTTCATCAAGGAAAAGAGTTATCAAAATAAGATGATTTAATCTTAAAACTGAAGTTGAAAGTATATTTGTGTAACAGGGGAAAACCTTCCTAATTGAAAGGCGACCATTTGTGTTGCATGTCTCTTCAGAAATATTTCTGATGGCAGAGCAGAGGGGAAGTACCAACTCTTTGATGCCAACAGTAAAAAACTGCCCTGGGCTAATGATAAAAGAATGTTTCTTTCATTCCTGTCTCTGAACCAAGATCTCCCTAGCTATTTGGTTTATCTAATACCCTATTATTCTCCAGAGGTGCCCACTGATAAGATTCACCCAGGTCTCTTATTAAAAATACAGATAACTCGGTCCCACCCCAAACCTCCAGAAGGCCTGGGAATTCAATGTTAACAAGCACTTCCTCTAATGCTTTTAGGCATATTTGGGAATTTTGTTTCCTCCCAAGACTGCAGAGTCAGTAGTTTGTTTCTCTTTCCTACCCTCTGCCTCTCAGAGGCTGGGAAGGATAGCTTATTTCAAATTATTTTCAAATTATAACATCAAAAAACAATTCTTAAAATGAAAACAATAGATACACATATATGTATAACTGAATCACTTTGCTATACACCTGAAACCAACACAACTATCGTGTCTGACTCCTTGTGACCCCATGGACTATACAGTCCCTGGAGTTCTCCAAGCCAGACTACTGGAGTGGGTAGCCGTTCCCTTCTCCGGGGGATATTCCCAACCCAGGGACTGAACCCAGGTCTCTCACATTGCAGGCAGATTCTTTACCAGCTGGGCCACAAGGGAAGCCCAAGAATCCTGGAGCGGGTAGCCTATCCCTTCTCCAGCAGATCTTCCCAACCCAGGAATTGAACCAGGGTCTCCTGCATTGTGGGTGGATTCTTTGCCAACTGAGTTATCAGGGGAAACCCCCTAATCAAATATACTCCAATATAAAATAAAAAATTTTAATTTAATTTTAATTGGAGGATAACTGCTTTACAATGTTGCTTAAGCTGTACAATAACATGAATCAGCCATAATCATGCATATATCTCCTCCCTCCTGACCCTCCCTTCCACCATCCCCTAAATTTTTTTTTTAAAAGCAATTATTTTTTACTGTTTCAGGACCGTTCTATTGTTTTGTTACTGGATGCTCTACTTCTTTCTTGACTGAATTTCCAGTTTGTAAAATGTTTAAAAGGAAATGATGCAACTTAGTCTGCATGTACATATTTTCATCCTATCAGTACTCAGCATAAAGCATTATAAAAAGCCAGGTAAGGAGTTGGTGGACATACAACTGATTCATTGAAGTAAGGAGTTCTGTACTGCTATTCAACTTTTAGAATTTGCCCATTTTTCAAAGGAAATGAGCATATTTGACAGAATCTGGTAGTCCAAGAAATGCTGCATATGATCTATTGGTAGTTCAATCCACTATTATGAAAAAATGGTAGTCAATAGATTTTTATTCTCAATACTTAAAGAGCTTCAATAAAAACTCTGAACTAGAAGTTACAGAAATAGATAAGCATACTTGGGCTAGAGTTCATAAACTCTCTAATCCGTGGAGTCTATAAACCCTCTGAAAGCCTTAATTTCTCAAGTCATTCCAACTGTCTTACAATTCAGTTGAATAGGCATTAGGGTCTTTGTTTAAAAGACACACACACATACCCCACAGCTGCATCTTAGCCCTGAGACTGTCTAGTTACTGCAGAATTCCAAAACCCTCAAAGTTCTATAGTCTAGCTTTAAGGTTATCAGCCTTCAACATCAACTTTGTGATGATTTTTTTTTTGCATATTTTGTTTTTAACTCTTATTTTTCTTGCCAGCTGTCATCGAGCTAAATTACATATCAGCACCACTCTCAATTCTCCAGGTAGAAGCTGTTATTTTTGCTATATCTAATTATTCTTATCAAGATTTGGACGTGATCAAAATGGGAAATTTTAAATGCTTCTGAATGTATTCACATTCTGATTTTCCAACTAGAAAATATAATGAGAATTACCTGAGCTGTATAATGTAATACTGGTGGTCATCTCAGAGTTCTTAAGTAAAAATCCAGGAAAGTTTGCTGGTGATCAACACCTTCTAAATATTTATACCTTGGCATATTTTTCAAATTTTATCAAGCAGGAATCTATGTAAACACTCCAGAGCACCGCACATGCATAGTATCACAGACGCACCAAAAGAAAACATGGTGACATCCTCTTTGCCTATTTATGGGCTGTGCATGGTTCATAATATTATGGTGGTAGAAAGCAAACTGCTCTCTGTCTTCAAAAGTTAGATTTATCAAAGTGAAAGATAAGCTTCAGAAGCCGAGGGGGGGGGGGGGGGGGGGGGGGGGAGCGCAGGGGCAGGGAAGGCTTACAAACATGCACCCCTCTCTTAAAATAAAACTCTTAAAAAAGGGTAGATAACTTTCTATTCCTTAGTAATGCAGGCATAGCTGCAGTCACCTAATTTTGGAAATGAATAAAACCTCACATTTATGCATGGCTATCTCTATATACAGTCACTGCCTCTTAGACTCGCCTACATACGATCTGTATGAATAAAGCCAACAATGACACCCTTCACAGCTGCCTCAATGGCATTCACAGACACTGCAGCACCTCGGTTTATGAACATTATAAACCTACCTAATTTTGTTAAGGATATCAATTCCGGACTGCTCCAACAGGACATTTTTAACAAAGGTACGTGGAATGGAAATCTTTTCAGTGCTGGCATGAATCAAGTCTTGTCGAATGTGGGCTTTTCTCATCACATTGGGGCAAAGATTCTCGGCAGCATCAACCATGGACTCGAGCAACGCCTGCAATGCAGCACAAGCGGAGAGAGATGAGGACACAGACCCGGAGGCGCCTGCCGTAAAACTGAAAGGTGGCTCTATATGACGCCGAGCTCTCGGAGGGCAGGGACACAGCAGAGTCCCAGGGTGAGGCTGGGCATTCGGAGCTGTCCCAGGGTGACTTGTGACTGCCGGGTGATCACTGATCTCAGGCAATCACTTTAAATCAGACACTTGGCAGATCTGCCCAGGCTTCGTGCTGGCATCTGAAGTGTGATAGTGTGCTAGCTTTACTTAACGCAGAGGCATTCATAATTAAGATTTAGAAAGACACGTACACACCAATTTACCCACACCAGACTGTCCTCCTGGGTATTAGCAAACAAAGTTACAGATGTCCCTGGAAAATATATCAGGTTTGAACTCCTGTGCAATTTCATAAATCACAGAAACCTCAAATCAGGGTCAATCATTTAACAGCTCTATCAAAAGAGCAGCAGTAGCAAACCACTCTAAATACTGCTCGTTTTCCTCTTTTAAAAGAAAAGCTTCAGTGTTAGGTAAATGTATAATTGCTGTAAGAACAATCAAAAAATGAATAATAATAGACAAAAATATTCATGAACACTTCATAAACATTAGTAATTATTACACTTAAAAACCTACTTAAATACTTCAGAGTTTTTTAAATGTTTCTGCACATTTTAGCCTTCCAACATCTGTGAAGATGGGTAGAGAAGCTATTCATGTGATCACCATTTTATAGCTGAAGAATGTGAGCTAAGGGAAATGAAACGATTTGCTTGAGATGGATAAAATGGCTGATAAGTATGGAAAAGGCATGCAAGTTAGCGTGAATCCTAAATTTGAATCCTAGCTGAGTGACACTGGATCAAGTTATTGACTTCTCAGTTTTACTCTACTCAGCTATAAAATGGCAAAGAAAAAAGTTCTCGTCTCACAGGATTTCTGAGGATTAAATGATATTACATATGTAAAGGGAACAATATCATGTGTAGCATACAATAGAAGTTCAGTGTATCACAGATAATGCTTTAATCTGTTTTCAAAGATGCTAATCTTCATGATGAGATCTTGATTTTGAAAGTTAAGCTTAATCCCATTACCATTCCAGTATGAATGGGACTAATGGAGCATCATTATGGAAAGCCTAGTACAATCCCGACAGTAAAATCTCTCATGACACCATACGATGAACAGGAGAGCAGCAGGATGTTTATAGAGATCTTGTGAAAAGCAGGAGAGGAGAGGTGGGAGGCAGCCACTTGAGAAATTTCCAAAAGCCACTCGTATGCTGACAGTGCTCTGTCCCTGTTAGAACTCTGACTAATCACTGACTTTAGTACATTATTCCAAGACAGCTACAAGTGATGCCAAATGAGTCAGTTTAAGACAAATCATTTTCATCATTGGCATTAAAATTAATACATTCTGTTCCAGATGGAATCCCGCACTCCTGTTAAGAACAACCACTGGTATCAATATGCTGTTTGCCTTCCATCATGTTCATTAACACAACCATGACTCTCTGAAAGGTCCCCCTGCATGATGACGCTATTCGGTTGGCATGAACTCCAGAGAAGAAGCCTGGTTCCAATGCAGATCTTGACATGAAATTTCCATGGAATATTGAGGGAGTAGCATTAAATGAATAATCTTTGTTGATCTCTGCTTTCTCACCTACAAAATTATTTCTAAAGTCTCTTTCTGCCCTACAAATCAACTGTCACATGACTTTGACACTACAGAGAGGAATTTCATCTTGTCCTGGGCATCCAGTTCGACAGATATTTTGCAGTTAGCTCCCTACCACCACCTCTAGTCCCACATTGGCCAACAATATAATGTAGCACTTTATGCTCTACAAAGTAATTTCATCCATGACTTCCTTTGATCTACATAATAATCCTGGGGGTGGGGGGAGTTGCAGATTTTAGCAAACTCATTTTATAGATAAGAAAATCAGGGTTCAGAGGAGACTTGCTCAAAGAACACGTGATATGGGGACTCAAGCCTTTTGTCTCGTACTTCCACTTCCTACTCTAGCCACCCTTTCCCAATGACCTTCCCACTACCCACAGGAGTGTCCCTTCCTCTCTCTTCATTACCTACAATTTTCATCCTCTGCTCCCTTGAGTCAATGGTACCTAAAGGCAGGCATGGTGGACTTTCTGGAGACAAGCTAGTAGAAAGGGGATAAAGAGGGACTTCCCTAGTAGCTCAGTGATTAAGAATCTGCCTTGCACTGCAGGAGACCTGGGTTTGATCCCAGGTCAGGGAACTAAGATACCACATGCCACAGAGCGACTTAAGCCCAGGTGCCATAACTAGAGAGCCATGAGCTGCAACTACTAAAGTCCACATGCTCTGGAGTCCACAGGCTGCAACAAGTGAACCCAAGTGCCACAACCAGAAAGTCTGCACACTGCAATTCAAGATCCTGCCTGACTCAAAGATCTCATGTGCTGCAATTAAGACCCAACAGAGCCAAACAAATAAATAGAAAGCTTTAAAAAGAGGTGAGCGGGGAGGATCACAGGATAAATTTGGAATGCAGCCACAGACCACTTCTTTGTGTCCAACCCCTAGCTTAGGTGCTTAAACAGCATCTCCTTTCAAGTCCTGTGGCCCTCTGCACACCAAACTATATTCTTCAATATCCATGGCTTTATCTTTTCTTTCCTCGTAGAAACCTAATTCAGGCTTATGTTAAATTTTCTCACTTTCTCCACATTTCTTAACTTTTCTTACATATTCTCTATTTTGTTAGTCAGTGTGTACTCCCTTCAGACAACTTGAATGAGCAGACCTTTTTTTGAACTGCAACCATAAGATTTCATTTTGCCGGTATCTTCCCAATATGAAGGTCTATATTTCTTAACTGTGAAGACAATTAATGGTACTTAGAAACCCTCTAGAATATCTGCAAAATAAACTGGGTTAACATCCTCTACATGGCAGTTACACTCACATATTCTTGCAGTGAGCAAAGGACTAGCTGTCATTCATTACAAGCTAATACAACTTCCACACTGAACTGCTCTAAATTCTCTTTCTTTTGCATTGGAAAATATAAAGCTAGGAAAAGAAGAAAACTCAGAGAACTCTCCCAGCAAACTGAGTTAGTGCTTGCCAAAGTGCAACCTACGCCCCTCAGGCCTCATTTCCTCAGTAAACCTGATATTTACCAGGGAAGTATTTCACAGTTGAAACCCTGGGGGAAATGAAGAATTTTCAAGGCCAAAACAAGCATTCTAAAAGTTAAGTCCAGAAGGGAAAAATGAAAGTTTCCTTATGTTAAAACATTCAGATCCTATTTATTCACCTACGATTACCCTGGGAATAAATGTTAGGATCAAAAACAAGGGGTGGGGGACAGGAGGAGAGCTGTCATTTAAAAATACCTAAAAGAGACCAGTTCAAGAAAATATCACCTCTTTTCAAAGAAGGACTTTCTCCCCACTTCCTGCCTTTTTTCTCCTCCAGGAAGTTTGCTAAGAAAGTTGGCTCTTCCGGTCCTTTCTTTGGCTTTTCTGAACTAATATTTTTTTTCTAAAAGATGGCTCAAAGAGCTGTTTGAACTTATTCTCATTCAGAATTCAAAATGGGTACCACTGGCCAAGATACAGGGCTTCCCTGCTGGCTCAGATGGTAAAGAATCTGCTGCAATGTGGGAGACCCAGGTTGGATCCCTGGGTTGGGAAGATCCCCTGGAGAAGGGAATGGCAAGACACAGGATGAGCAAGTATTAAGGATAAGATCTCCTTAATTATGTTGACAACAAAACAGTCTTGCACAAGGAAGGTTAGTGCCAACGAGCTTGGAGCAGACAGCTAGTAGCAAACCCAGGTCACAAATCCAGGCCTGCTAGTCTCATTTTTTTTTTTTTTTAATTCACTATAGTAAAAACATACTTTTACAAAATAATCCATTCACTTTAGCTTTTGCTAGTATAACATTTTACTCAAAGAGAATTTCAGAAACAGAGGAAGGATTCTTTTTTTAACCAAGTAAAATATTGTACTACTAGTTAAATAAATAAGAATATAGTTGTTTAAGAAGCTGAAATATTGACTGTAGTAAAAATGCATTTTTCCCTACACAGTTTTAAGAAAATCAAGGTGCTAGAAAGCTTTATCAATAGACAAATGGGGAGTATTTATTTGTAAAATGATGTTCACTTGCCAGGTAAACTGAAAGGGAAAAAAAAGAAAATAACTGCCTACAGGCTGTTGAAAGTATCAAAAATTGCATGTGAACTCAGTGAAAAGGAGATTAATGAGTAACATTTAATTAAGATGCTGTGATGAGGATTTGCTTCCATTCATGCCAGAAGTCCCTGAAGGGAAGGGAACTTGCAACTCAAAACGACGGAAAGTAAACAAAACAAGGGAGTGGGGAATAGAAAAAACAGGGCATCCGGGAGCCTGGGACCTCAGGGATAGTTGAGAATGAGCAAAGCAGGCAGTGACACATGCAAATAAGGAAGCTGTGATGAGTGGAGAACACTGGTGACAATGACAAGGGGCCAGAAAGGTCAGCCTCAAAAAATGTGGGGAATGTCTATTTACAGAAAAATATTTTGAGTCTTAAAAATGTTATTATTTCAGGCTTTTAAAAATTCAAATGCCTTTTGGTTTAGACCTCTGCCTTCTACTCCCTCCCAAGAATGACTGGCAAAAGTCAATTCCAACCGTTCAGTACACTGGGAAGGAAATAGGCCCAGATTTCAAGGGATAACTCGTGGCCTAGACCAACTGAAACCAGTGCCCCTGAGAGGCCGTTTGATGGGAAACTTCCAGTTGCCGTAATTCGTGCCGATTTAAATGCCAGCCCATTTTTAGCCTATAAGGAGCTCTTACCAGTACTTTAAAAGAAAAACTTAGGCAATAGATACAAATACATAATTTACAAAAGAAGAAATACAAATGGATAATAAAATTATTTGATGTATTACTGGTTATTAAAGAAATCCAAAAGACAAAAATGATATTTTTTACCCTATTATCCTAACAAATATTAAAAGGTTAACACACTTAGTAGGGGTGACATGTAGCAAAAGCAGCTGGGTACACTCGTGGAGAACAGTTTGTGAATATACACAAAGGTATAAAACGTGTGTACCATTTGACCTAGGAAAGGATCAACTATACGAATCTATTCTAATAGGATTAATCAGAAATTAGAAAATAAGTTATGCTGGCTGTGAGATAATAGAAAATATATATTAGTCTCTACCCCCAGTTCCTGGCACAGAGTTACTGAAACTCTAGTAATTTCCTAAGTGATAAGAACACTAGGAGATAAGAACTATCACACTAGTGATAAGAACACTAACAATATTTTGTTCTAATATTTGCACTCTGATTCTGGCTCCTGACACAAGGCTCCTGACACCACGGGAATTCCCTGGATGATGGGATGTCTTTTGTTCTATCAGGGTAACTCTGGGTAGCTCCTGGATGAGGACTGGTTACTGGAAAGACCAAGTTATGATTAGAAGCTGGGAATTTTCAGTCCCACCCTCCCTTCTGAGTAGGGCTAAAAATGGAGCTAATGACAGACCATGCCTGCATGATGAAGCTTCCATAATATCCTAAAAGTGTGTGTTCAGAGCTTCTGTGTTGGTGAACACACGCTCTCAGTGGAGGTGCTGGGAGAGTGGTGCGCCCAAGACAGCACAAAAGCCCCACGTCCCTTCCTACATACCTCACCCTGCGCACTTCTTCCATCTGGCTGTTTATCTATATCTTCTAGCATATCCTTTAATAAACTGGTAAACATAAATAGGTGTTTCCCTGAGTTCTGGGAGTCACTCTAGCAAGTTAATGGACCAGGAGGTGAGGTTACAAGGACCTCGGATTTATCACCGATTGGTCAGGAATTCGGTGACAACCTGGACTCCCAGTTAGCATCTGAAGTGGGGCGGGGGCAGTCTTGAGGGTCTGAGCCCTTAACCAGTGGGATCTCTAGGTAGATAGTGTCTGAATGGAGTTAAACAGTAGGACACCCGGCTGGGTTGGGGAAAACACCCACACATCTGGTGACCAGAGGTGTCAAATGTGAGGGGTTCTGCATGAAGGGAAAGACACAGAGGAGGTTTGCCGCTTTCCCGGGCACTTATACGTCTCTGCAATGAGACACCATGCAGCCACTAAAATGATGAGTACTCACCGATCTAGAAGTGTCTTCCTGATATTGTACCAAATATAAATAAAGTGTGTATAGTATGATCACATATATGTAAAACTGTGTATAGACAGAGACTGTTTGCAAAGTCACCAAAATATTAAGAATAATGCTATTTCTGGGATTTCAAGTGATTTTTATTCTTTAAATGTTTCACAATGAGTTGTTTCGTTTTTTACAATCAGAAGTAACTAAGCAACAGAGATGACTTTATTTTAAATGTGTAAGAAAGTATCCTTTTAACATATCTGATCCTTCATGAAGGATAAAATGAGTGCTATTAGGTAACAACTGACCTGATAGAACTCTGTACCATCCAACCAGTTGTTTTTCTACTCCTTTGTCTTTGCTCAGAATGTATTCACAATAACCACCGTCAAAGAAAATAAAAATAACACCCAAGAGTCTCTCTGCATTATGCACACAGAAAGACAGGGGCTTAAATGCCTAAGTAATCCACAACATTCTCTCCTGTGCTAATTTAATTTATAAACAGAGTGGCATGTTGCAAAGTTATGATTAAGTTGCACATCAAATCCCTGTGAGTTATAGCAATTGTGTTCTCAGAAGAAAATGGACCAAATAAACATAGAAATTTAGACAAGGTCTTTTTATGGCATCCTTGAACAGGCAGGTTGGAAACGATGAAACTTTTTGAAAATGAAATGTTGCTGCTCTAGGTGTTTCTTGAAGTTCCCATAAGAATCTTCACTTAAATTTCAGAGGCTGCTTTTTCAGTCTCTGAGCCTCTAGACAAGTCTCTGCTACTTCCGGAGTCTTGTTACTTCGTTCTAAATCCCTTTCCTAATCTTTCATGCAGCTCTTTGCAAAGACTGTTATCTAGTTACCTAGTGGTAACCTTTCCATACAAGCAGCAATTTGGTGCTATAAGCATAGCACCTGTCATCTCTCCCAGTCTCTAAATCAAACGTAAAAACAGAAGATATTTTTTCATGAATCAGACTTCTCTAAGCAAAAATCAATCATTTCTCCTATCAGTGGCAACCTGTCATATGTGAAACACAGTTAGAGATTTACCATCAAAAATAAAATTGAATGTGATAGGTTTTACTTGATCTTATTATGCAAAAAAGTTATTCCAAAAATTATAAATGAAGCTGGAAAAGACACAGTATTCAACTTTACTACACATACATCTATAAAATATAGGGTAGCACGGTATGAAATGCTATCATGCACACTTAAGGCATAACAATGTCACTTTCTAAAATAACAGAAACCACAAACCTTGAGTTGTTCGTCAACAACTCTTGTAACTTCTCCGGCCATTGATTCCAGGGTCTCCTGAATTGGACTGGATAACAAGCCACTGGCTCCCGCCCAAGATACACCGCCAACATGGTATAAATTTGGTAACAGCTGTAAGAAAAATAAAAGTAACCTCTCCATAATTAAATAATGATTTAAATAAGCACCAAAATCACTGCAGAGTTAGTAAAAAGGGTGAAGAAATACTAGGGATAATCTAAGATAGTCTTGATGTAAGACCCTTTACACAGATCAAAACACTGCGGTCCAGCTTTGAGACCAGAGGAATAGTACCCTACCTGTTTGTGCCTTAGTGTATTCATCTGGGGTGCGAGAGCATCTGACTACTCCACAGTTTTCTTCCTACTCATAAAATTCAATGATTATGTGGTTCAAATAGAAGAGCCTGGACCAGATCCCAGGCTTTCTGATTCCCAGTTAGTCCTTTCTCTATGAAGTCACACTTGGGGAAAAAATTCTAAGTTGACAGAAGCTTCCTTCTACAGGTGACAGAAGGGAGTTGCATGCTATCAGCTTGGCAGTACACTGCCAAGGAGTTGTTACTCACTGAAACCCCAGCCGCCTTCCTGAGGTTACGCAGGACCTGATTACCCCCTTTGTGAGTCACAGCGCCGCCTGCTGTAAACGCTATACAGCCAGCCGTCTGTATGAGAGGCTGCAGACCCCCTGGATACAGAGGCCCATCTGGGCTATGCCATTTTACACATAAAAGACTTGATCATCCACAGATTTTGGTATCTGCGAGAGGTCCTGGCAGCAATCCCCTTCAGATTCCAAGGGACGAATGTATTTTGATTATTAGTAACCAGCATGGGGGTACAGAAAGGAGGCGAAGATTAACTCAGCTCACTTTGCCACTTCTTAGTAACCTTGAAACTGAGTAGAAAGGTAAAGCAAGTTAGAAGTAGCTTCTAAAGCTGAAGTTTAAAAGTCTTTTTCATTACAGAAGACTCTCCTGTAACCAGGAGTGAAACTCACCGTTTTAGAGTTCTTGGCATCCTGCATGAGTCTTTCTGCTGATTTTAAATCTTCCTGGATGGCGTCTCCCTCACAGCTTCGTAAGGAGTTGAGATGATCTTGTACTTTCACACACATTCTGTCAATCATCTGCTCCACACCATAAAAATGACAACAAGTCATTTAGCCGATATTCAGGCAGAAGGAAACACAGAATGAATGAGGATGAAAACGTCTCCTAACTGGAACCTTTGAGAAGGCAGCTTATAGCAATTATTAATTTGTCTGCTTCTATAAGAAGCCTCTGGCAACATTAACTCTGGATAAACACGTAAGGGATTGTGGCCCCCTTTACTGCCTAGGAAATGCAGCATGTAAAACAAAACCGATTATTTCTTCATGATTCAGAATCTCATAGCTACTCAGTGACTTTTTGGTTGAGAGTAACTCTCCTTTATTGATTTTTATTGAGTACCCTCTACAAGTCAGACATGGTGTTCAGCATTAAAAAAACAGAAAAAGGAGATGTACAATTCTGAGATAGTTGAGATGATGACAAAATGATGCCTACAGCCAGTTGGTCCCAATAATATGGAAATCAGAACATCCCTGGAAATTTAATTTTTTTAATTAGTTCAATTATATCACATGATTTTCCACCATAAAAGCATAAGCTGAAGTTTTATTATATTAACATACGCAATAATAAAGTTAATAACATCTAGTTTCTATCATTTTAAGGTCCTTCTCCCAGGTTAATTACATATGAATCACTTTCATTTGTTTTATAGATTTAACCATAAAACCCAAAGGGAAGTAGCAGCTCAGTACTGTGGACAAAAACTAGTACAGAAGGGTAAGATTATGCTCTGTGGTATTTGTATGCCTAGAGACAAACATGAACAAAGCTAAGACGTCTAAAGAGAAAGACAACTATGGTGTGGTTTTAAAAGTTTCTCCAGTATTTTGATCAAAGCTGCAGGTTGTCTATTCTTAAAAAAAAGGGGTGGGAGGAGCTCAGTGGTAAAGAATCCACCTGCCAATGCAGGAGACATGGGTTTGATCCATGATCCGGGAAAATCCCATATGCCACAGAGCAACTGAGCCCGCCACAAGTATTGAGCCTGTTGCTCCAGAGACTGGGAGCTGCAACTAGTGAAGCCCATGCCCCTCGCAACAAGAGAAACCACTGCAGTGAGAAGCCTGTGCCCTGCAACTAGAGGGTAGCCGCCACAAGTAGAGAAAAGCCCATGCGGTGATGAAGATCCAGCCAGCCAAAGATGAGTAAGTAAAAAACCGCTGAGTTATATCTATCCCCCAGAGACCCTATCATATCAAGAAGGGCAGATTTGGCAGAGGTGACAATCCACTAATATTTTTATTTAACTTCACACTTTTCTATTTATTTTTAATTATTTGAAATAACATAGGAAGCCAAAATCAGCCCTCCATCCCCCACAAATTCCACAGTAATAGAAAATTTATGACACTGCTCAGCAGGCTGATGGCCTGATGATAGAGCTCGTGTCTACGTCCTAGAGCATCACCAGCTCTCCTTTATAAAACCAGGTTCATTACATCTACCCCATCTTCTTTTTTAGTGTATAATGAAGACACTCCTGTAAAATACCACCACTCAAAGCACCTACTTTCGTGACAAAGGGTCAGTAATACTAATGCTAATGTATGAAGAACAGCTTCTATGACTGTAAAATGTATTGAGGCTACATAAGTGAACTATCTGGAACTCCTATAGGAAAAAGAAGTGACATGAATAATGTATCTCATGGAATAATTATCTTCCCTGGCCAAAGTCTAAGCTTGTAGGCAGGGTTCACATTTTAACTTTATGCATTTACTTTGCCCTGTAGAGAATTAAATGTATGCTTTCAAAAATCTTCTTAATTGATATAAATTCCAACTCTTCCAACTACTGTATTGATCTGTGCTTCCTGAAGCAAAAAGGGTCATCAATAATTCATATGACACTAAGAAGGAATACCTAATTTCGAGAGACAAAATGAACCACATTTTGGGTTCTGATACACAAAGAAGCGAACTGATACATATCTCATGCCACAAAAGACATTGAGAGGTATGTCGATGCGGCACTATAAAAAAACTAATCATCTTTAATAATCATGAGAGACCAGAGACTCCTGACACATGAGCCATCAAGCACTCATCAAGGAGAGAGGATTTAAATGAACTCAGCACAATGGTCTTTAAGTGGAATTTTCAAAATCACATCCAAAACAAACAAACATTTCATTCTTTAACTCAAATAAGACACAAAATTTCACAAGTCTCCAAGATTCTTCTGAACACATACTTGCTAAGGTTTGGCACAGCCCAACAGATCACATTCAGACACTTTACAACTAAAGAACCAAGGCCCAGAAAAGTTAAACTATTTAAGATGACACAGAAAGATTACACAGAGTATAAATGAAAATTTTGAAAACGGGAAACAAAGGATTCAGATTCTCAGTTCATATTCAAGTCCCGATGGTACACAAATGTAGAAAAACAAAGCAGACTGCAATCTGAAATAGTCATCTCTTGGGCTGGCCCATCAAAGACTTCAAGGTAGATGACGGCACTCGAGCTCTTCATTTTAAACTCTCTACTTTATCCTAGTAAAGTGTTCCATTTTTCTAAAGCAACCCAGGAAAGTTGCTAACTGCCATAATTTAAGGAGCTCACTTCCTTCCAAGGAAATGTATTCAATCATTCTTGGACTAGGTCTTCTTTAAGTCCTCATCTGTCTCCCCATGGCCTTCTACAGGTCACATATCTTCCCCTGAGAACTCTGAACAGTTACAAGCTCTTTTCCATGTGACAATCATGCGCCTGTTTGATTACAGCTCTCTTTATCATCTCTAATCTTTTTTCTTCAGGCTTAACAGTCCCAGTTTCTTTTACCATTCCAAAGTGACACCACTGTGTGATCCCTGACCCACACCTTTCCCCATGCACCCCTCTGAATTTTCTATTTAAAACCCTCACACAACATGAGGGTAAATAAAACAGACTGTAACACAGTAACAGGGCTTTCATCTTTCTTACTGTACAAAGTATACTTTCATTAATGTGGTGTAAATCAAAATTGGCTTCTTTGGCAACTGAATAATAACAGTGTATCTTACTTGATGGTGACCACTTTGGCTTTTCCAAATACAGTGAGCTATAGAACCGAAATGCAGAACTTAGAACCATTAGCCATAAAAAATGCCATCTTTGGTTGCTTGTAATTTGTCACAACTGTCCTCAGTTCCAGCAAATAGCTTACTGTGTGGGTATTAGTCTCTCAGTTGTGTCTGTCTGACTCTTTGTGACCCCATGGGGTTTTGCCTGCCAGGCTCCTCCATCCACGTGGTTTTCCAGACAAGAATACTGGAGTGGGTTGTCACTTCCTTCTCCAGGGATCTTTCTGACCCAGGGATCAAACCCGGGTCTCCTGCAGTGCAGGCAGACTCTTTACTGTCTGGGCTACCAGGGAAGCAAATAGCTTACTCAGTGGAATATTTTATCTTCCTCCATGTCTATTTCTTTATTTGATTGAGGAGAAATAAACTCAATACCTAACACTGAATGAGATAAAGTCCTAAATAAGATAAACCCTTTGCTACCAAACAACATAAAACCTGGAGGTGGAAAGAAATATTCACAATTAACCATAACAAGATATAAAGTTTGCATATGTAATATCCACACAGACACATTTTGTTCACTGTCAAAGCCCCATCTCCTGTAATAATGCCTGCCACATCACAAACCCTTATAAGTGTTTATTCAATGAATAAATGGGTGATGAGAATTACTAAAGGATTTCAGTCAAGGGAGAGATTACAACTAATTGGGGCTGAAGGTAGCTTTTAGACTGGGTCCTGAAACAGTTCTACAGACTGAGAAAAGGGCATTTTTAGTAAAAGAATGAACGTAAGCAATGGCACACTCAGACACTTGGGATTCCTGTTTCCCGATTAGAAACAGAGGCATTTTATTGTGGGAGATCAGATTGGAATGTTAAGCTAAGACAAGATAGTGTAAGACTCAGGCTTAGGCTACAGAGTCCAACCACGGCATGCAAACCACAGAGCATCTATTCCCCCAGCTCCTCCCACTGTGAGTATCTAAAAATCCCTTAATACTCACAACGTCTCAGCTTCCCTGACAAAGAAAATGGGCTGTAAAGACCACAAAGATACCAAAAAAACCCACAACAGCAAACAAAAAAAAAGCACAAGGACACATGGAAGATGGATTAACTAGTTCTTACAGTGCTTATAATAGACACAGGAAGGAGTTAATCAAAAGCCTTAGCAAAAGGTCAGGCAGTAGAAATAGAAAGAAAAGAGAAGCTGTAAAAGACACTTTGAAGATAAATGGGCAATGAATAGTGACTCTGAATGAAGAAAGCAAATGAGGCATCCAAGATGACTCCAGGAGTTCTATTCACAGTGAATGGCGATGTCTCTGAGAGAAATGGTGAAATCAGTTGTTCCAAAGGATGAGTTTGGTCTTTCACCTTGCTATGTCAGAGGGCCATCTGGATGGGGATGCTGAACAAACAGCTGAAAAACAGGAATTCCTGTTTACAGAAAACAGGGACTGAGGAGATAGATTAGGAGATATCCACACAAGAGTTAAAATGGTAGAAGTGGATTAGCTAGCACTAGTAAAAGGACTAGTGAAAAAGGACTGCATTTGGAAGATGAAAGGAGAAAGAGTTGTGTAGGAAGGAGGACAGAGAACAACAAAACGATATTCAGAACAGCATACTACCGGATGAACCAAGAAGTGTATCTCAAGAAAGATAAGATGGTCTATAATAATGATGACAATTGTGATAATAAAAATGCAGCAACAAACAATGTTTACTAGTTAGGAACCAAGTACTTTGCACACATTATCCCATTTAATCATCTGAGCAGGTCATCTTTCCCAATTTTCAGATGAAACCAAGCCTTAAAGAGGTTAGTTAGTGACTAACACCAGTTCCAACCAAGAAGGAATAGCAGAATCTGTACTTAAAACCAGGTCATCTGACTCGAGACCCCAAGTCAGACCACTACACATACAGCCTCCTTTCATCAAAAGATAAGAGGGAGAAAGGCCTCTGACTTGGTGACCAGGTCCATTGAGTC